CCAGGTACTTCTGTTTCCTCCCACAGACTAAAAACATGCATGTTAGACTGATTGGTAACTCTAAATTGTCCCTAGGTGTGAGTGGGAGAGTGAATGGCTGTCTAGTTTGGCTCTATGTGTCCCTGTGATGGACTTGCAACCTGTTCAGGGTAACCCCAGCTTCTCGCACAGTGACTGCTGGACACCAGTGACCCCCGTGATGTGAAAAGGAAGAAGCGAGTAAAGATAATGGATGGATGGATGGATCTTAGTAATATGTTTACATTTTATGGGTGCAAAACTAGTGGGGTCCCTCTTAAATTAAATGCTCTTCGTCATCAGTTTGTTGTCCACAAAGTCTCTGTGAATTACCTGGTTGGTTGCTGCAAACAAGTCAACTGACTTTATCTTTGGCGCACACTAATCAAAGTATCTCATACTGGAAGTGGATACAAAGGGAAGTATACAGATGTATTGGAAGACCGCTATTTTTGGGAAGTGGGTGGGTGGTGGTAGGTTGTGATTGTGGTGGAAGGCAGCTTTAAGGTAGTATCTTACTGGGCTGTGACTGATGGTGACTAGGTCGCCAAAAGAATGCTTTTCAACATTTGAGGGTGTTTTCAATTTCGTCACTTGAATGGCAGAGGCTCAAAGTGAGAAGGTCCAGACATCTCTTTCTACAGCCACCTCGACCCAAAAGCATCCCCAGGCCAACCGAGCTACATAGCCTCTCCAGTGTGTCCTGGGTCTTCACCGGCGTCTCCCCCCAGTCGGACATACCTGAAACACCTCTCTAGCAAGGTGCCCAGGAAGCATATCCTTACCAGATGCCCGAAACACCTCAACAGCATCCCAGTGAGATACTTCCATTAGCAACAATATTCTACAGTAGAGAACAGACATCAGTGTGTAGCACCTCCATTACAATGGTAATAATCAGATGGTTCTATAATAATATTGCTTTTGCCTTTTCATTGCCCATGTTGATAAACACTGGTAGAAAATGTTCTCATAGCTTTACAAGTTACCATGACAAAAACACCTATCAACTCACAGACGACACCTTTCTAATTTCCTGTAGCTTAGCTGTGCTGCTGTGCTAATGCTAGCTTGAACATAAACACCAAACAGACTATTGATTTCTGCTGTCGTTTTCATTTTTACCCTCCTCTTTAACTGTTTAAGCTACAAAGTAAAAATGGTTTTGTTTCCACCCTTGCATATGAACCTATGTTTGTGTAAAATTATCAGCGGTGGACAAAGTACTCAATTCTAGTACTTAAGTAAAAGTATTGATACTCATGGTCAAATCTTACCCAACTAGAACTAAAGTTGCTCAGTCAAAAGCTTGCTCAAGTTAAATTACTGAAGTACTTACTTTTGAAAATACAAAAGTACATGTATTTAAAAATACTCAAGTATGTAAAAGTTCAAATTATAATTTCTAATATCAGTACTTTGCTGTATTGTTTTGAATGATTTTACAGAACCTCTCTGAAACCACTTGATGATGTATTGACGTGTAGAACCACTCTAACACCATATGCCTTAATAAAGCCTGTAAATTACAAATAATATCATCCCTGCATTTTACATGTTTGTGGAACGTCATGGAAATCCTAACAGATGATGCACATTTAGTCTTTTCCTCATCTTCAGTATTCATACTCCGCATGGTTTGTGTGTAAAAGTGCATATTGACAGCAACAACTTAACACAGGAGAGGAAACAGTAAAACTGATAACTGAAAGTACTGCCACACTTAACATAGAAGCTACAAAACAATGAATGTTCTGCACAGATGAATCTAGTATAATATCTGAACCAACAACTGGCCAACTGCATTTAAGGAAAGAAAAACAGCAACAGTGGATTACAAAGTAGGGATGGGGCCGATCCGATACAGTATTGGTATCAGGCTGCGATACCAGCATAATTTACGTATCAGATTTTCCTTATCCAACCTGCCGATATTTCCGATCCATGATGCATGTCTGCAGTTGCGCTACACGTTGGCTTCAAACTATGGGATGGATTTCCTGAACGGAGGTGTGTCTCATGAACCCAGAGTAATAAGACCCGCCTCACATTCAGGAAATCCATTTCATAGTTTGCAGCCAGCTATAACGTGCAGTAGCACTGTGGCTAACAGCTAACCAACTTTTCATCGAAATATGTCCGCTGTGTGGAAGTATTTTACACTAGAAACACCACAAAGCAAGACAGCAACGTGCAATGTCTGCAGAGCCATAGCACCACATTAAACTGCAGTAAAATTAGTTTTACGATGGACATTTGAGCTCTGGGGCTTCAGCAGCCCGTTATTTTCATTCAGTCCAGAGAAGGCCATCTGATTTCGGTCAGCCACGCTCAGTCTGACCCGCTCAGTCTGTCCGTGTCGGAGGAGGGGCAGACTGAGCGTGGCTGACCGAGATCAGACTGCCTTCTCTGGACTGAATGAAAATAACAGACTGCTGAAGCCCCGGAGCTCGAATGTTTACCGTGAAGTTGCTAAACTTCATCGTAATTAATGACCAACTGCTATCAGTTGTAGAAAACAAAGAATTTCGCAGCTTGATTCTTGCAGCCAAGATACAGTTTACCCTCCAGGAGATATTTATCAGTACAATTAGTAGACAATCATAAAAAGCATATAAATTGAAAATTACAATAAAATTATATAAAAAAACTGAAACAAATACAGCTACATTATAAAGAGGTTTAAAATACTAAAATCAGAAACATGTTTGTGTTGGTTTATGCCATGAATTTAGCAGATGTTTAAAGCCATTTAATCACTTTAATATCCACTTTAAAGCTAGGAATAATTAAAAAACAAAAAACAAAACATGTTTTGTGTTAGCAGGATTTAATTCTAACTTTGAAACTTATCCAACATTAATAAAACTTACCCCATGTTGCCTTTTTGGACATGCATATATTTGTACAAATTGTACTTGCCTGTAGAGAGGAGATTATTACAGCCTAATTTAAAATCGATAACGATGATGATATTGGAATGGGATCGGTATCGGCCGATATCCAGACTTAAGTATCGGGAATCGGATCGGAAGTTACAAAATGTGGATCGGTGCATCCCTATTACAAAGATAAGCCAAAAGGAACAAGTAACAACAAGTTTCCTAGAAATGTAGTGGAGTTGAAAGTACAATATTTCTCTTTGAAATGTAGTGGAGTGAAAATCATGAGTTCCCAAAAACATACATACTCAAGTAAAGTAAAGATACTCAGAAAATGTATTTAAGACCAGTGCTCAAGTAAATGTACTTCGTTACTGTCCACCGCTGAAAATTATTAATAAGCTGCAATATCTGTTAGCCATAAAAACAGGAGAAAGTGCTAACATACACATGACCCTAAACAGTACCATTACAAATCCAATGGCATCATGTTACAGAGACGTTGTTACTCAAAGTGATGAACCATTAAAAACAATGAAAAGATTACTATGACCCATTTCAGTTTAGAGTTGCAGCAGTTGACCTCTGATACACCACCTCTCCACCTCCAGCATCATTTGTTGCCTCCATTAAATTTCCAACTATAATCTTTTATCATTACTGTCACGATCAGTATTTATCACTGATGTTAAGAGCATTTAAATTAGCCTTGACCTACCTAGGCTACTCAGCAGCTGTGCTCATCCACTCTTTCACCTGTGTCTCTCCATTTCCCATCATCCCTCACCCTGTCACTCTCGGTTTACGAAGCACTGGATGAAAAGTGACCTGAGGTCAACGTTTTTTCCTGTCGCTTCCAGGCACGAGTAGAACCAAACAAATTGGGGTCACGGCAAAGTTGAAGTGGTGTGAGCACACAAACAAACAGCTGCTAGTTCAGACAGCAACAAGCAGATACACGGCGATGCCAGAGATAGTGTCTTCTCAAAGCTTATCTCTACTGCATCACTTCTACCAGCAAGTAGAGTAAAACAAGATCTTGACCCCACACGCTCTTTAGTTGTTTAAGTCCAGTAGCACAGTGAGAGATGCAGTCCTGGATGGTAATTAACAGAAACCCCACCATTTAAATGGTTGCATGAAAAAGTGGGCATAGGAAGCACAGGGCCAACAACACAAATAGATCCCTAAATGCATTTTTAAATACCTGCTGTCCACTAATTGCCATTTTAATTCATCATTAGAAGTAGCTTTCAATGACCTTGACACACATGACACACATGACAACACATGGAAGTTATAAACACAGAAATTATGATGACTAGAAACAAAACATCCTTGCATGCAATTAATCTTCTAGAGTTCAAACCTAATTATCTTTAACTACTCTTAAAAGTACCATATAGCAAGACAGGACAGGTGGGTTTTTTTTTTTTTTTTTTTGGGGGGGGGGGGGGGGGGGCTGTTTATGTAAAAAGAGAGAAACCATCTTTAAACAGAGGAGGAGGTCACAGATTTCAGCTTTCAAAAACCTGCAATGCAGCTTTAGGCCTGACACCCAGCCAGTTTCACACCTATCAGGAATTTCAACCATGTAACCAGAGTGGCCCCTCTGTGGGTGGGACTAACAAAGACCCTAACGATCCTCTCTTGTAAGGCGTGAGAGGTCAGTCTGCATGTGTCAATCTGCATAAGCTTACAGAACACATCCACTTTATAACTTGAATCCCACACTCCTTGTTTCTTTGAACTGAGAAAGCTCCTCGGATGAGAAACGAAACGTATTCAGTTACAAATAAAGTTCAGTTGTCTTTTGTTTCAAATCTTGTTTGAATTTATCATGTCCTGGATGACTGAGCATCTTCACCAGCATACCACAGAGCAAGCAACTAAATGTAATTTATTCATTTTCTTAGTGCAGCTAGAAAGAAAAATTCATAAATGCAACATATTTTGGACAATATTTTGGACACAATATATTTACAGATGTAATTCACCAGATGTTGCTTGTGTCTCACACAAAACATATGGGAATTTATTCTTCCCATTGTTGCCCCCTTTATCTCCGATTATTATTCCCAGGAGAAAAAATAGTCTTACTATGTGCAGCTCCAGGTAATCTCCCAGTCCCTTGGCACTCTCCACTCTGACCAGAATGGCTTCCTTCAGCTGTGTGCTGAAGCCCACTGCCAGCCGGTCTGCCCGTGTGCTCGGCCGGTCATTGGGTGGCCAGGTGTACGTGATGAGGGCTCCGCCTCGGCCGAAGATGTAAGTTGTCCCAGCTGCAAAACAGGAAAAAAAAACAACAACTGAGGTTTGGCAAAAGGATTGGTGTGATCGGAAAACACAAATACTGAATAAGCTCAAAAAAGATTTGACTGCAAGATGTTAAAACAGACTTTTTGGACAGATTTCTTTCCATTGTTTTATATAGCTTGAGGTATTTTCTTCTGATAGAAATGATAAGTTGCGCTCAGAACCTTCTTCAAATCTTCCTGTTTTTATAGTTAAAAATAAAGCTTCATGTTAAAACGGCACTAATCAAATGCACAGAAATTAATGAATTTATAGACTAAGCATAAAGAAAGTTTCAAGGCATATTATGTGCGAAAAGTCAATTTACTACAGTATAAATGCTTATTTTATTTATTTATTTTATCTTTTGCTTTGTCATTTTTAAATTACATAATATAAAGTTGTAATTAAAAAAAAGTTATTGATCCAATCATCAAAACCTGCTTGTGAATAGAAGTGAATATTGTAGTAAAAAAAAATTATTTTTATTGGACCAAACAGTTCTAAGGACTCTCTGAGATATCTGAAATATTCAGATGGCTCTGCAGTTGTCGGGTGTATCAGAGATGGACAAGAAGCTGAGTACAGGGAACTGGTGGACCGCTTTGTGGCATGGTGTGGAAACGATCATCTCATCTTGAATGTGAACAAAACAGAGGAGATGATTGTAGATTTCAGGAGAATCAGGAACAGGTCCAACTCTATTTCCATTATTTGAGAAGAAGAGGTGGTGGAGAAGTATAAATACCTTGGGGTTCACCTGGACAACAAATTAGAATGCAACAGTGAAGCCGTCAACAAGAAGGGACAGAACAGACTGTAGTTCTTGAGGAAGCTGAAGTCCTTCAGTGTTTGCAGCAAGATGCTGCAGATCTTCTATAAGTCTGTTGTAGAGAGCACTGTCTCTTCTGCCATCATCTGCTGGGGCACAGCAAGTGACTTCAAAAAGATCAACAAGCTCATAAAGAAGGCTGGCTCAGTTCTGAAGACTCCTCTAGAAGCTTTGGAGATGATTGTACAAAGAAGGATTCTTCATCAAATGAAGAACATTATAGACGAGCCTCAGCATCCTCTTCATCAGACTGTCATACAACAACAGAGTGTCTTCAGTCAGAGGCTTCTTCAGATCTGCTGTAAGACAGACGCTACAAGAGATCCTTCCTGCCCACAGCCATCAGCATCTAGAACAACTCTTTAATGAAACCAGGATGATGAGGTACAACAGCATTTAATTTACCTCTGGGATTAACAAAGCATTTTTGAATTGAATTGAATTGGGGATTATTATATTGATAGTTCCATTATGGAGTGACTCTAAAAGCCCATGTTTGTATTCCCACTGGCAAGAGAACACCATTATGGTGCACAATTCAGCTGATGGTTATCTCACTCATGTCACTCGTGTCCTATGAAGGTTTTGCAGCTGGAGTTCTGTTTTTCTTTTAATTTGTTGACTGATAGCGAACATGCATCAGGATATTTGTTGACTGATAGTGCACAAACAAACAGGAAAAGAACTCATGCACCTTAAATGTGAATTAGTCCCACTGCAGTCCAAAACCAGCAAACATGAAGTTTCGCTCATACTTTATTCTGGCACCAGTGCTGATCCTTGAATACCTTTGAAATGTTAATTTACCAAGTCAGCAGCATTTCAGTTGCCTGCAGATATGTTTCATTTAAAATAAGCTATGTTGGCAAACGTTGCATTTGTATAACAGTATAACAACATTTAAAAGACACTGGGTAGATCACATCGAAGAAACCTTGTCTTGGCAACATTTGGAATGTTAGCCCCCAAAAATCAAGAAATAAAAACAAAATGAGCAATTTCATGTTTGCACTCCAACATAAGGGTTTGGCTCTGAAGCACCAGCAGGTAAATGAGAAATGAGTGCTGTTGGCTGTGATTAGCATAGAGTAATGAAACCACGGTGAACTGCTCTCAACCCTGTGGGCTGTCTCCACCCCCTGGATAATAAATACACGTTTGCACGGGCTGCATGTCAAGATATTAATGCATGTACAGAACGTAGCTTTATGAATACGTAAGCAAACAAGGGATTCAGACACATTTTCATGCACGTTACAACTAACACACACACTGATGGAGTTTTGTTTTGGATGTAAGAAAAGCAACTCATTGCCAATAGCATTTAAGTAAAATAATTTGGAAAATAAGAAATTATGAAGAGGCAAGCACTGAAATTAAATGAATTGGCTAATCTGCTCATTTCACACCAAGAGATTCATGTATGGAGACATCAGAGCTTAGCTTTATAAAGCACTAATGCTCACTTATTAAAGCACATCATTGACACGTTTCATCTTTCCTGCCCTGTGGATTTATTTCTCGATGATCTTAGATCAGATGGGACGGAATAGGCTGCACACCCTCATAATCAAACACTCCAACTCATTCGGCAAGAATCCAGTGGTAGCTTGACACACGATGTTCCCCTCGGCCTCTCTCTCCATCCTTCCCTACATCCCTCCTTTCCTCTCAGCAGAGCTAAGCCCTCTGCTCAGATTTTGTTGTTTTCTCCAGGCTGAATTATTTTAGCGCTGACTAATTATCACAGCATGGCAAGGGGGGGCTGAAAAGAGGTTGTGTGCTGGAGAAGTGGAAAGAGAGAGAGGATGAAAAAAGACAACAGAGTAAGGAGGCAGGGAATTGAAAAATATGGAGTATGGGGAAGTGTGAATGGTAATTTGCAGAGTGGAGAAGTTGGTGTTTTCTTTTTTCTCCCCTCATTTCTTCTGTTTATTATCATCGGTGCAGCACCGGAGCTTAGAAGAAAATGGGAAAGAGACGAATGAAGAGGAAGAGAGGAAAAGATGTCTAAAATGGCCGACCGAGAAAGAAGGAGGCCATGTTGTAATAGATCAGACAGGAGCCATGCGAGGAGAAAAAGACGTAAAGTTTGAAGTAGGAGTTCGACATAGGGTGTTTGCATTAACCCAGAATATGTGAGGCAGAGACAGTTTGACAAAATCATTGTCATTGTAATAGAACTAAGTGATCATTACCTGTTTGTAATAATTTTGATATTTTTTAGCTTTCATTTAGGTTTTAAGCCTACACTGACTGCATGTGCAACTGGTATAAATATGTTAATAAGCCACATCAGGCATATTATTCCATGATATTCTCATGGCAATGGACTTGTGTCTACACTGGTCCTGTTAGACCTCAGTGCTGCAGTTGATACAGTTGATCACAATATTTCACTACAGAGGCTTGAATATGATATGTTTAAATCATATTTATCTGATAGATTCCAGTTTGTAAATGAAAATAACAAATCTTCTTCATACATGTACAGTAAATTAGTCATGGAGTTCCTCAAGGTTCAGTGCTTGAACCATTACTCTTTACCTTGCATATGCTTCCATAATGAAATGCATAATTATTGTGATAGTAAGGTAGGGTTTTCTTGAAAATGTTCTTAAAACAAACTCTAAAAAATATGCAGAAAATGCTCCAGAAGAGGATATTAAGACAGCCTCTGTTTAACTTTCAACTAAATCAAACAAAAATCTATACAAACAGCATTTTATTACTTTTCCTAGGTGTAATTGAAACAAGGTCTCTATTTGTCTTAGTGAAAATCTAAATCTAAAGCTTTTACATTAAACTGAGGAGTGACATAAATAAAATACTGAAATAAATAAAAGTTATACATATATATATATATATATATATATATATATATATATATATATATATATGTATATATATAAACTTTTAACAGTGAGATAACATCTAAGATGACACCTAACATACCTGTACATGCTAAGAGAGTACTGTTGTATTCAAGATAATTTATTTATACTAAGCACTGCTAAGCACAATCCAAACTTTCCATTGTTGAAAAAGACATAAAATGTCAACCAACATAGCTGCCAGAATCACCCCCCGCCTCCTCCCCAAAATATTATGCCTTTTCAACTTGACTAAGTTTCAGAATCAGAATCAGTTTATTATTGCCATGCCTATGAATGATGTTCACAAACTAGGAATTTGCTTCGACATAAGGTGCGAATAGTAATAAAGTAAAATAAAGTAAAAATGAGAACATTACATAAGACATAAGACCTGTGTACACCCACAAATAAAGTAAAAATAAAAACATAACATAAACATGTGTACACCCATACAACAGAAAACAATAAAAAAGCTTAGAAAACAGTACATATGGAGTATTCAATTATAATACAGATGTAATGTGACCAAAGCAGAAATTATGAGGTAGCATTATGTGTGTTCAGGAGTCCAACAGCAGAGGGGAAGAAACTGTTCTTATGGCGGGAGGTTCTGGTCCGTAGGTTCTGTTTGCTTATATTATCCTCCATTTTTGTCCGTTGTCTCTACCTGAGACCTAAAATACCTCAATAATGGGCCTAAACTAGAAAGATAAATTAACAGTTATCTCTCAAAATTGTATCTAAAACATCAGGAGCCAGAGTCTTCCAGAAAATGATTGCAACAAATTCCACTTAAAGACTGATGCAGCTCAGGTTCACCTGAAGTCCAGTAATGTTGGTAGTGTACAGTAGTCCCTCGCTACTTCGTGGTGCGTTTATCGCGGACTCGCTCTATCGTGATTTTTCAAAATAAGATTGGACATGACACACAATTGGCTGATTGTTGGATGAGCCGCACGATCGGCATGGAATTTTTATTTAAAATTAATTATTTTAAATTATTTAGCACCTGCTGCACCTTTGTGCAGCCCACACTGCAGGATAAGCTTCCTGCTGCAGCTGTTCGCCGTACAGAGCGGAGGAGTGGGCGTGGCCAAGAGCGCTTGCAGGTGGCTGAGAGCAGACGAGGCAGGGAGCTGAAATTATGACATTCTGTGCTCATTTAGAGCGTTTAGAAACATTGTTTAGAATATTGCAAGTGTGTGGGAAGGGTTTAAAATGCTTTACACAAATACTAAAATAAACTACTACCTTTTTACTTGTACTACTATTCCTACTT